ATGTTTGGAGAGGGAAGGCTAGGGGATTACACACCTGTAGCTGCTGGTTTCAATGAAGTTATCTCCTCCGCCGCAGTCTGGTGATGTCAGTTGTCTGCCATGGTGGAATCCCATGCAAATGGCGACAGTTTGTTTCCCTTTGCTCGGTGACCAATGCAACGTGTGGGTCCTGTCTGTCTCTCCCAAGCCCCGTTTCAATCCTGTGGCCACTGCCTATGAAGGCTCTGTTGGCATTTACCTCCGTAGGTTCAGAAGGGCCGACCGGTTGTGTCAGTGGGATCGTTTAGTGCTGAGTCACAGCTGTTTGTCTGCGGGAAGCAGGCGAACGGGAGCTTGAATTCAGCCGATCCGGGCTCAGTGTGTGTTCTGAGAGGCCCAGACTGCTCGTCCCAGATCCACGTCAGCTCAGCGTTGCCTAGTGATCCTGAGCAAACAGATTTAGACTGTTTATGACTCACTATGCCCCCACAGCTGAAGAGGTCAGAGACTTGATCTCTCTGCGCCTGCCGCCATGTTGGATCCTTCTCTGCTAATTTTGTTCTCTCTTCTTGCCATGCTTATCTCCAAAATGCTTTTTAAATGATTCCTGCCTTTTAGTTTCTACACCCTCTTTATCTTACCTTATATTTACATTATTTATTCTAATACCAGATACTTTGGTGTGGGAGACCAACCTTACACATGACTGAGTCACATTCCCCAGCTGGGTGCTGAGGCGCTCAGTCACAGAAATGTGGCAGAGTTTTCCCCATCTTCTTGGGTTTAAGGGTCAGTGTCTTGTGCATGGGTGTGTCTTGCTACAGCCCCATGGGTGAAGTTATGCTCAATTGTTCCTTTGTAATATAACCCCTTGCCCTGTTTAGGATAGAATCTTCCATGGAAGTGCCTTGTGTGTGTCCCCTTCTCTTACTGTGCCCTTGGGTGTGGCCTACCCAGGTGTCAGTCAACCTGCTGATAGTGGACATCATGAAGATAGACTCAGCCCCCTGAAACCTAACCCCTTGCCTCTTTTGAATGGCTTCTCCTCAATAAAAGGGGTCAGCGCGTGCTCTTGCTCTCTCTCTTCCTGTGGACCCTTTAGGTCAGAGGAGCCGTCACAGCGACCCCAAAGAAAAAGGTATTTGTGTCTCTTGTGTGGTTATTTTGTGCAGCCCAGTCAGCCTAGTTTACCTGGAGTGACCCCTGAGCCTTTTAATCGCAAGAACAGAAACCCGGCACTTTTGTAGTCATTAAGCCTGGGCTGTATCATCTTTAAGAAATGATCTCTCCTTCTTCCTTTCTTATTTGCTGATCACTCATCTTTCTCCTGAGGTTATAGTCATTGTTATGGTTTGGATGAATGTCACCTAAAGGTCCATATAAAAGCTTCATCCTCAGGGTGCTGATACTAGGCGGTGCACTATTAGGAGGTGGAACTCATCTAACCCTCTTATAAGAGATCCTTAAGACACTGGGAACATAACCTCAAGAGACTGTGGGACTCGGGTCTCTCTGTCTCTGTAAGTGTCCTGGCTCATGTTGTAAGTGGTTTACCCTGACATGTTCTCTAGCACCGTCTGCTACCCTCATCAGAAAATCAAATCAACGGGCTGTCTGCTCTTGGATCTGTGAACTACATAAACCTTTTTTCTTTATTAGTTAATTGCCCCAGGTATTTGATTGTAGCAACATAAAACTGACTAATGCAGTCATGGAGTGAAACAGAACTGGTATGTTTCAGTACCAAGATAGAAGTGGTAGAAATTTTGTCATCAGCTATATCTGATTCTTTATTTCTGCAGTTACTGAAGGTAATCACTCTCCCCCACCTCCACCTTTTTGACTTTCATTTAGGTGAAAACCTCTGAATAATTCTGGGTAATGACTTTCCAAGGGAAGTAAATTTTATTACTTGTAGGCTAAGGCCTTAAATTATTGGTGTGAATTCTCTAGAATACTCTACCTTACTCTTGATGATCATTGAATCCGAACTGCTGAACCACAACTGAGAAGACAGCTGCCCTGGACCATTTCCTAGGCTCATGGCAGAAACTTTCATTGCTTTAAAACACCTAATATTTTGGGGTTGGTATTTTAGTGCAGCATAACCAAGCCTCCATTTACTGGAAGATATGAAACATGTTCTGAAAAGTTTCTAAATAATCTCAGTTTGTATAATTATGGTTTGGTTTTATCATCTGTTATTTATTTATAGAGAAATAAGTTTATCACTTAAAAATGCATTTTTTTCAGTGTATAGAAAATTTATTGATTTCATTGCATAAACAATGGAGGTGTCATTGGTTGTTACTTATAAATATTAATATTCATGGAGTATTAATAAGTCTACCTAAGTGATTTTTTTTATGGTGCTGGGGATCAAACCCAGGGCTTTGTGCATGCAAGGCAAGCATTCTAGCAACTGAGCTATATCCCCAGCCCAAAGGACATTACTTTTTTTTTTTTTTTTTTTTTAGAGAGAGAGAGAGAGAGAGAGAGAGAGAGAGAGAGAATTTTAATATTTATTTCTTTAGTTTTCGGCAGACACAACATCTTTGTTGGTATGTGGTGCTGAGGATCGAACCCGGGCCACTCGCATGCCAGGCGAGCGTGCTACCGCTTGAGCCACATCCCCAGTCCCTACCTAAGTGAAAATTGGGGTGCGTTAGCAAGACCTTTGGAAGTAAAAGCTGCGTGTGTTGTGTTGGTAGGAAAATATATGAATGAACACTTTAAACTTTATTAGTTTTAAAATTTACTGTTTTTTTTTAAATATTGCCTTGTTCCAAATATCAAAACTTTAGTTTCTCCCTTGCCTAACTGCCAAATTGCTATGTACATTTAAAATTTAGGTTAAATATGGTCTGTGGACAATGTATACAAGTACATAAATATAATATGATACCCTATAAATAGGTATGATTTTGTGTTATGTATCAGTTTTAAATTGATTAATTTTTTTTAAGAGAAGGAAAAAATATGACCCATGACTCAGTACAATCTATTAGGAAAAGTCACATCCAAAAAAAGGTCAAAATTCAGGTTAGGATCTCATTGTGCTTCTTTCCTCGAAGACCTCATTAATTTATTCATACATAAATATTTTTCTTTTTTCCACATTTTTTTATTTGTGCATGATAATTGAACATAATGATGGGATTTGTTATTACATATTTATACACACACAATATAAGAATATAATTTGACCAATATCACTCCCCTGTTCTTTCCCCTCCTTCCCCTCTTCCCTCCTCCTAATCCTTTTTCTCTACTGATTTCCCTTTGATTTTCATGACATCCCTTTGTCCTGCAGGGGCTCAGGCCCTGGGAAACGGATTTAAGATCCCAGCAGGTGAAATAAGATGCAAGGCACAGTTGGATATGCTTTATTCAGAGGTGGCAGCAGCCCCTGAATCTTTTCATAGGCCTTTTAAAAATTTTTATTCTAATTAGTTATATATGACAGTGGAATGCACTTTGACACATCATACATAAATGGAGAATTTCTCAAGAATTTCTCATTCTTCTGGTTGTACATGATATAGAATCACACTGGTCATGTAGTCATGTATGTATATAGGGTAGTATATATGTATATAGGTATTCTGACTCATTCTATTATCCTTTCTACCCCCTTAACCCCTCCCCTCTCTTTACTACCCTCTACCTAATCGAAAGTAACTCTGTTCTTCCTTAACACCCGCCCCCCCCCCTTATTGTGAATTAGCGTGGGCATATCAGAGAAAATGTTCAGCCTTTGGGATTGGCTTATTTTGCTTAGCATGATATTCTCTAGCTCCATGCATTTACTAGCAAATGTCATACTTTCATTCTTCTTTAAGGCTGAGTAATACTCCATTGTGTATATAGACTACATGTTTTTCATCCTTTCATCTCTTGAAGGACACCTAGGTTGGTTCCATAGTGTAACTATTGTGAGTTGAGCTCTATAAACATTGATGCGACCATGTCATTATAATATGCAGATTTTTAAGTCCTTTGGGTATAAACTGAGGTGTGAGGTAGCTGGGTCAAATGGTGGTTCCATTCCAAGTTTTCTGAGGAATCTCCATACTGATTTCAACAGTGATTTCACCCATTTGCAGCCCCACCAGCAATGTATGAGTGTACCTTTTCCCCCACATCCTCGCCAACATTTGCTGTCGTTTGTAAGAAGTAATTTGCCCAAGGCCTTCAGCCTGCTCTGCCTGAAGTCAGTAGGAAATGTTACAACTTAGAATAAGCAACTTGTTATTCTCAGTCCAAAGATTGCTCTGTAGATAAAGAAACACGAGTTACCCTGATGTGGTCTGAAAGAGGATCTTTGTTATCTTCACAGCAGAGAAAACGGAAGAAAACTAATAATGTTTGGGAAAGCCATGAAATGGGCTACTTGGCCAGTAACCTCTCCCTGGAAGGGTCCATGTGGGTCTTTATTGACCTCTGCAGATACTTCTGAGAGGACCCCTGCTTTGTGTAAGAATCACTGGGTGATCCCAGGAGGTCCAGGGTGAAAAACAGGTTCTATGAGTGTTCATCTTTGATCCACTGAAATAACTCTGAACTCCAATTTTTTAAAATGTTAAGCTTAATTCCTAATTCAGTGTGTGTGTGTGTGTGTGTGTGTGTGTGTGTGTGTGTGTGTGAGAGAGAGAGAGAGAGAGAGAGAGAGAGAGAGATAACACAAGAGAGACAAGAATAAGATATCTATATTAGCTGGGCACAGTGGCACACACTTGTAATCCCAGGGACTCCGAAAGCTAAGGTAGGAGGATTGTGAGTTCAAAGCCAGCCTCAGCAACTTAGCAAGGCCCTAAGAAACTTAGTCAAACTCCGTCTCAAAATAAAACATAAAAAGGGCTGGGGATGTGGCTCAATGGTTAAGTGACCCTGGGTTCAATCCCTGGTACAAAAAAAAAAAAATCTATATTAGATTCAGTTAATAAGAAGCTAAAAGTTCTTAAATGGTAAGATTATAAGTGACTTATTTTTTATGAATTTTTTTTCTGTTGCTACAGTGATTTTGTTTCTGATATAACAGAGAAAACATGTGGGGCAAAAAGTGGACAAATAAATAATAATAATGTTAAAATTCTAATGCTGTGACCCTCGTCGGATGGAGGAATGGATTTCAGGCTGAAGATGATTTCGTCTCTTGGACTTTTTAGTTACTTACTGAGCTGTTTCCCAAACTTTTGTCTCCAGATCTAGGTAAGCACCCCTTCCTCTTTGGCATTTTGGGGTTATGGGCCACTTTGAGATTCTCACCCTATCCCATGCGCATACCTATACATACATGTCACTGTACATATGGTTTCAGGAGGTTCGTGGTCCAGCCATATTGTTGAGCACCCCTGTGTGTTATGCTGCTTTATGAGTGAGGAGCCTTATTAATGAGAGTAGCAGGGAAAGCCGAGCATCAAGCCACTAAGCAAATACACAGGAGAAATGCAGCCAGCCCGCCCCCCCCCAAATACTTCAGTGCCCTGGGGAACAAGTGAGTCATTTTATGGGGAAGAACAAAAATAATAATAGTTGTTTATGGCGCAATTATTTACTTACCAAGCCTTGTGATAAGCACTTTCCATATTTTATCTCATGTAATTCTTACCTCAACCCGAGGGAGGAGGCTATATGATTACCATTTTATCAGTAAGGGAGCCAGGCTTAGGTAGGTCAATAACTTGCTCTCTGTAACATGGGGCAGAGGCTAAGATTTCAGGAACAAGAATCCATCATGTTACTTTGTTTAAAACTTTGCAATAGCTCTCCAGCTTATTCAAAGCCAAGATGTCCATATGATGATCTAGAGTTTCTGACCTTTGCTAATACTCGGAAGTCATCTTCTCCTATTACCAACACCTCCCCACAATCTGCTCTCACCTCTCTGGCTACTTGTTGTTTCTGGAACACTCCAGATAAGCCCTACTTCAAGGCCTTGGCTCTAGCTCTTTGCTCTACTTGGTCTTTCCCCGGGTGAGTCATCCACTTATCCTTTTAAATCTGTATTTTTTCACTGAGGGTTTTCCTGATAACCCTAATTAAAATGAAAACCCCATTGACTCTATTCCTACCTTTTCCCTGCTTTATTTTTCTCTCTAGTACTTACCATCATTCCATGTGTTAGACTTTGACTTAAGTTATAGTGTGGTTTTCTTCCATTAGGATTTAAACCCTGCCATTGACAAACATCATAGTAGTCACTGATTTATTCTAGTATCAATGGATGTTAGAATTTGGTGAAGGTCTAATGAGGAATAGGATATTGACAACTTCCTGTGAGATTCTTATTCATTCTAACAAGTAAACTAGCAACTTTATAGTGGAGAATTGGGGTAGACTGAATGATCTTAACTGAATGATCAAAGTTAACCAATAGCAATTCACCCTTAATAGGATAAATTGACATCAAGTGCCTGCTAATATCATGCACTGTAAATATTATAGCATCACTTTCTTGGAGTTTTTGCCAAAAACATGCATAATTCAGGGGCTGGGGTTGTGGCTCAGCGGTAGAACGCTCACCTAGCATGTGTGAGGCCCTGGGTTCCATCCTCAGCACCACATAAAAATAAATAAAGGTATTGTGTTCAACTACAACTAAAAAATAAATATTTAAAAAATGCATAATCAAACTCTAATTATGAGGTAACTTTGACAAATCAAATTGACAAATACTCTGTAAAATAATTGATCTGTATTTGTAAAAATTGTTGAGGTCATGAAAGACAAGGGCATGAAGAGTGATCCATGCTATAGGGGACTTGAGGGGATAAAAACTGAACATAACATGTTATCACAAATTGATTTTTATATAAATAAGTTTATTGGGATACTTTATCAATTTTAACTAGGGTCCATATATACAAGCTAATAATAGTATTAAGTAATGTTAATTTCCTGATTTTGATATTATTATTGTGATTATATGAGGATCTCTTTGTTTTTAGGAAATATATACTGAATTATGTGTAATAGTTCATCATGTTTGTAGTTTAGTCTTTTTATTTCCTTATTTTTTTGTTGGTGCATTATAGTTGTACATATTGGTGAGATTTGTTGTTACATCTTCATGCATGCACATGGTATAACACTGTAATTTGGCTAATATTATACCCCAGCATTTTTCCCATCTCCCCCTGCCTCACACTCCTTGGTTCCTTTCCTCTACGGATTTCCCTTTGATTTTTAGGATATCCACCCCCACCTTTCTTTTTCTTTTTCCTCTCTAGCTTCTGCTTATGAGGGAAAACTTTATGACCCTTTACCTTCAGAGTTTGACTTATTTTGCTTAACATGATTGTCGCTAGTTCCATCCATTTTCCTGAAAATGCCACAATTTCATTTTTCTTTACGGATGAATAAAACTCCTATGAGTATATATACTACATTTTCTTATCCATCATCCCTGAATGGATACCTAGGCTGGTTCCATAGTTTGGTTATTGTGAATTGTGCTGCTATAAGCATGGGTATGCATGTATCACTGTAGTAAGATGCCTTTAATTCTTCAGGGTAAATACGAAAAAGTGGTATAGCTGGGTCATAGGGTGATTTCATGCCTAGTCTTTTGAGGAATCTCCATACTGTTTTCCATAGTGGTTGGACTAATTTCCAGTCCCACCAAGAGTGTAAAAGTGTTCATTTTTCTACACATCCTCTCTAGCATTTGTTATTATTTTTATTTTTGTTTAAAAAATTTTAAAATATATTTTTTAGATGTTGATGAAACTTTATTTTATTCATTTATTTATATGCGGTGCTGAGAATCAAACCCAGTGGCAGGTGCTCTACCACTGAGCCACAACACCAGCCCCTATTATTTGTATTCTTGATGATTGCCATTCTGATTGGTATAAGATGAAATCTCAGTGTAGTTTTGATTTGTATTTCTCTAATTGCTAATGATGTTGAATATTTTTTCATGTACTTGTTGGCCATTTGTATTTCTTCTTTTGAGAAGTGTCTGGTTAGTTAATTTGCCCATTTATTAATTAGGTTATTTGATTTTTTAGTGTAAAGTTTTTTGAGCTCTTTATATATTCTAGATATTATTCTTCTGTCAGAAGAGTATTTATTTATTTATTTATTTTAGAGAGAGAGAGAGAGAGAGAGAGAGAGAGAG